AAAATAATGATTACGTGTTAAGTTTTATTTTTTGCTCGGAAAATAATAGTAATTTCTTGAGTTTTATTTTTTGCTCAGAAAATAAAACTAAATTTTTGCGTATGCGTATGCGCATGCGTGAATAGACAGGGGGCGGCTGCATTGAACCTTTAACGCCACTGTGGAGTGGGTAACCCCAGATACCAGGGCAGAAACAAAGAGAACCACATTTCTAAAGAAAAAGTGCAAAAAAGCGCATACGCATACGCAAAAATTAAGTTTTATTTTCCGAGCAAAAAAATAAAACTTAAAACGTAACGATTATTTTCCGAGCAAAAAATAAAACTCAGTTAATAACGATTAAAGTGATTTTTATAATAAAACTTATAACCGTTACGGTCCCTGATAATTTTCGTTTTTATTTTTTACTATTTTCTTATTATTTTCCTTTTCTTGGTTTTATTATTTTCCTTTTTTGTTTTTTATTTTTATTTTTTTTTGTTTTATTTTTTTTATTTTTTCTTTATTGTTTTCATTTTTTATTTTTTTTTTCATTTTTTATTTTTTTTTTCATTTTTTATTTTTTTTTATTTGTTTTCATTGTTTATTTTTTATTTTGTCAATTGTAGTTTTTTATGTAAGTTTAATCCATTTTTAATTCATATTCGAATAAAAAAAAACGTCCAGAAATAAAAATATATCAGAAATTACAATTACCTTAAAAACAAAGTGGTTATATTTTGCGAGCGTCTACTGTATATTTTTTTAATTTTTTTTAATTTTTAACTTTTCTAATTATTTAATTTTTTATTGAGCTCAATCTTTATATCCTTAGTTTTTCATTTTCTATGTTTTGTGTTGTTTCTACTTCCTTTTTTACATGCGTTTTTTTATTTTTTATTTCGATTTTATTTTTTTTAATTTTTTCGTTTATGTATTTATTAATTTTTAGTTTACAAAATTTATTTTAATTAATGTATGTAATTTATTATTACTTTTTAATTTTTTATTTTGTATAGTTATGTTGTCATGTTATTATTTTCATTTACATTTACATACATACATAATTTTAAATTTCATTTTGTATATTGTTGTTAATTTCCCTTTTAATTCGCAACTTACCTTTATCACAATAATCTCCCTGCCATCCAGTCAAGCAGATAATCTCACCAGACTCGGAGCAGGTGTAATGTCCAAATGGATCATCACGTGGCCTACACAGATTCGCACAGCCTGAACCATAGTAATGCGCATCGCAAGTAACGCGAAAATCATACTCCAGCCAAGTGTATTGAGCTTCGCTTTTATTTGTTTTCCACTCGGGTGAAACTTCGAGCACTTGTTGCAGCGACAAACGTTGGATTAGTAAATCTGTAAAAGAAATTAAAAAAACATTCATTAGCATGAGTAACAAAAAAAATAAATAAAATAAAAAAATTTAATGACAAACAAAAATTTTAGAAAATTAAAAATTTTCTGATTGAGAGCACAAAAGGGCACGCGAAGAAATGCTTTCATAGTATGGCAATTTTTCCTTTTTTGTAACTAATTTTTTCTTATTTTAATGGTAAAGATATGGCTACCATGAAAAAACGCTAATTAAATGATGAGCGAGAAATGTTAAAATAAAACGAAAATTAGCTGAGACTGTACATTGCTATGTATGTACCTTTATTGCAGATGCATAGTTGGCTCCTCAAGATGCATTAAATTAATAACGCTATACCTAAATAGCATTTTAGGCGGCAAGTTTGGAGAAAATACAAAAAAAAACAGGCAGTTATTTTAGTAATAAAGTTGTGCTGAAATTTCTGCCAAACAGGCAGACAGGTGATTAGCGCAGCGGCAAGAGGCGAACAACGAATGGAGTTCAGTGCGCTCAGAGGTCCCCGACAGAAGGGAATACACAAAAAACTAAACGCGCGATGCATAAGAAATCAAGATAATGCAGAGATTTTGGCAGCAAGCAGGGCAGGGCACAGTATGAACTAAGAACATGAAAATAATGAAGTAAAAAAAAAAAACGAAAAGATCAAGCCGTAAAAATTATTTATTATTTAAGGTTGCACAAAGCGCAGTCAAAAGAAGTTCTCAGGCTGCAGCGAAGGCTTGTGAATATTTTTTTATCTGCTTTTTTTTTTCTTGTATTTTTGCTCGCAGTTGATGAGAAAGCCGCTACAAAGATGCTGCTGCCAGTAGTAGTATAACTATAGTTATCACTGCATAAGTGTACGCTTGATTGTGTACGACGACTGGCTACTCGCTTCTCTGTCTGCTCGTTTGGTTATTAAATGAAGATTAATTATTGCGCATTAGTGAAAATGAGAGGCCGAGCCGTGAAGAAATGCAAGCGCGCAACATAATATAATGCACAACTTTGGATGCGATTTATGTAAGTAGATGTGGTATGCAGAAGGTTCTTATCGCTGTCGTGTTGCAGGTAGATGCGCACATCAGTGTATTAAAATATTGCGCTGGCTTGCTTCTTTCGTTTCATCTACCTTTAGTGAGTGCCTACAGCAGCCATATGAAAGCAGTAAAGCAGCGATATAAAGATACTTAGGTACACAAGTTTGTTGTAGTGGCTTTAGATTACAGATCTTATCTAAATGTGTTTTAGGCGCTACAAGAATATGTTTCTTTTCTGATGTAGCTGATTTGTTAATCTTTCATTTTTCTCAAAGTTATAATTAGCACGATTTCTAAGGAAAGCAGAGCAATGAGATTTTTTCTCGATATTGAAACTACGCAGAGCTCATTCTAAGTTTCTCCAGTGACAAGCCGACACAAAAATTTCAAGTGGAAGTTAGCGTTTGTAAGCAAAAATTATTATATTGATGGTACAGCAACATAGCGAAATGCATGATGGAGCATAGCAACATAGCGAAATGCATGATGGAGCATAGCAACATGTTTCCGACTGTGAACTATTTTCCTTAACGTAATGTATATATATACATATGTGCACTATAGCACTATAATGCACTAGCAAATTAAAAATTTCGTGAAAGTATGTCAACGGAGTCTGGCAACATTTTGCACTCGCCTTTTCAACTTGCAGCATTTTTGTATATATACGCATATGTGCGTCAATAAAACTTCCAAATTTCATTTTAGATGCTTTTCGAAGCTTTAATTAGGCCAAAAAGTGTACTGTAGGAATGTTGGTAAAATCTGCAACATCTCGAGAAGGAAATTTTTGTATTTTATAACGTTAATATTGCAAAATTTAAATTTAGTTCAAAATATCTAAAATAAGTAAATTTTAAGTTTCTATAAAAATGTGAAACTGAAAATGTTGCTAAAATTTTTTGAAACTTGTATGTTACTAGCGTTATAAGCTTAGTTCAAAATTTCAAATAAGAAAATTTTAGGTTTCTTTAAACAAAAAATTTTTGTACTGAAAGTTTTTGAAACTTGCAGCCGCCAGCAACATGTTGCTATCGTTATAAACTTGGTTGAAAATATATAAAATAAGAAAATTTTAAGTTTCTTTGAACAAAAAATAAATATATATCTGAACTGAAAATGTTGCTGAAACTTTTTGAAACTTGCAGCCGCCAGAAACATGTTTATAGCGTTAAAAACTTGGTACAACAACAAAAATTAAATAAACGTAACTACAACACATAGGCGAAGAAGAAGCTTAAAAAAATTGCAAAATACTGAACATATTAAAACAATAATTCAATTGTTGCCGCCGATGCCGATATCCAACAATCGAGTATCGAACACGCATGCATCGCTAAAGCCGAGGACGGCAACGAAGATTGGCCGGTGCTAAGCGTCAACCGACTAAATTGACTGCTAAAGACCGGTCCGCCGCAACGAGTGAAGCTGCCACAGCAACATTTGTAACTGTAGGAACATAAAACGGCGACAAATGTGAGCGAGTATATGTTCGCAAACATGTATGTATGTATGCGTGTGCGCACATTGCACACATACAAATACAACCGGCTATGGTCTATAAAGTAAATTGCAGGTGCATGACTGGTGAATTGAGGTGGCGTGGCAAAAGAGTCAGCAACAGAGTCTAAAAAAAAAAACATGACAATAAATGCAAAAATTGCAAAAAGCACATATAAAAACAACAATAATTTTGTGGGCAACATCAAATTACAACTGCAAAGGCACACGGCGGCGGTTAATGTTGAATGCGGCATAAATCTCCCGCATGGCCAGCGACAAAGAAAAAACAATAACACCAAAAACTAAATACTAATACATTAGCACGTTTTCCATATACATACATACTTATGTACTTTTATGTATGCATCAATGTGTATATGCTTGCTTGCAATATGCAAGTGCCACTCAACCAAACCACATTATTACACACGCGACCACTGCTGAATGTTGCTGGTATTGCACCGGGTAGGCAGCCGAAAGGGTACGAAGGTGGTTCGAGCGCTAAAAAAAAAACAAAGAAAGAAGCAGAAACTTCTACAACAACAAGCCAAGAAAATATAGTAAAAGCTGTAAAAAAACACAAAGAAAGAAAAGGTAATTTCCAACAAGTAATAGCACTTTGAGGCAGCCTAGAATTTGCGAGGGTTGGGTACAAGAACTCGATTGTACCTATCAAAGAGGGTAGCACGAAAGAATATATACCTACATACATATATACAAGCAAACTGCAACTAAGCAACATAATAGCCACGCCGCAGTGATCAGCAATAACAATAAACAACAATTTCATAGAGGATTTTGGAGGTTAATATTAGCCATGCACTACCACGAACGAAAGACTTAAGCAACGAACTTGGTTATCACTATACTGGGTATGTAATGTAGCTTAGCTGACAGGCGCAGCTGTGTGGAAGTTGAAACCTAGGAAGTTATGCTCCTCGTCAAATTGTTCCCCTTTTGTTGTAGGTGCAAGTAGCTAAAATTGTTGTTGTTATTGTTGTTCTTGTTGTCGCTGCTGCTATTACTGCCATTCTTACTTTCCGCCGGTCGTAGTTTATGGCATTGGCAAGTAGCTGACGACGTATGAATGCACCGTGTAAAAAGCAAAAGTGTTCGCGGTGAAGGTGTTTTTGTTTGCTTTCGGTAGATATTTTTGCCGCTGCTGCTGCATTTAATTTTCATTGCACTTAAACGAGATCTACTTGAAATGATAGTGCAAGCGCGACCGAGAAATTGCTATTGGCAAGCAGCAGGGAACATGGTATTTTTTTTATTGAGGTGTATTGTATGGGCTGGACTGAGTTGTTGAAAACGTGTAGAGGAAAAGCGAAAACGCTCTTTGCTCGTTGTGGTGCTGGGGTTATGCACGTGTTAAGATTTTTTTAGTTTGGGTCTTAGTTTTTTAATCAACGTAAACAGGTAGAACACGGGTTGTTTGAAGGCGATTTTTTTGATTTTTGAAACTCATCTTTTCAAGGTAAAACTATTTTAGCACCTATAACATTTACTTTTTGAGTTTATTATTTGAGATTCATTAAGAGCATAATAAAAATTGTTTGAAATGAAAAAGGCGTATATTTTTTGTTTTTACATAATTTTATTGTGTTTCTATAAACTTAATTTTTTGTATTAATTTTTTATTATTACATAATTTTAATTTTGTAATTATATTTTTTTGTATCTTTAAGTGTTTTGATTTTTTTAATTCTTTTTAATTTTAAATTTCCTTTACTTATTATTATTACTTTTATTTCTTTTTGGTTTTTATTTTTCTTAATTATCAAATGAGCGTAACTAAAAAAATAAACATAAGAAAAACAATTAATTTAATTTAATTAATTTTTATTATTGAGTTCTTTATATTTATTTCTACTTTTTTAATTGTGTTTTACTTATTTACTTATTCTTACTTTTGTTTTATTATTTATTTATTCATATTTGTTTTATTTATTCCTTTTTAATTATTTTATTTTTTTATTCCTATCATTTAATTTCATTCTTTTTTATTTTTTATTTCTTATATTATATTTATTCTCATTTATAAATACTATATATTATTTTTATTTATTTATTTTATTTTTAATTTTTCTAATTACATACTTTTTTAAATTATCTTTTTAGTTTCTGATTTGGTTTTGATGTAAATATTTTTTTATCTTCTTTATTTTTTATTTTTAATTAATTGTAATTTTTTATTTTGTGTGTATGTATGTGTCTCTCCTTTAATTTATATTTTTGTTTGCATTTCTTTCCGAACATCTCTCAATATTTTAAGTTTTTAGATTTTGAATTTCATTCGCAAATTCGGATTTTTAAAATTCGGTTCATTGCGATTACTTTTGCATATATTTATTTTTCAATTTGTATAATGATTTCCTTAACTTTTGCATTTTATGTTCCAACTTTTTTGTATTTTTCCCATCTCTCGCTTCAAATGCGGTTTAACCCAATTACCCCAA